AAGTGTTGTAAAGTAGGTAATCTCTCTGATTTTACAATATTTTCAAACCTTTCTGACATAGTCATTATACCGCCACTGTAACATTTCTGTAGTTCTTACAAGCGAGAGCTTTCCTCAACAGTTGCGAATAGTTCCATATTCGTCACTTATTGTGTCCAATAAAATTCTGCGCATCTCCGAGTCTCGCGGAAGGTCGACTGGCACTCGAAACATTTTTTGAAATTGATTCATTGGAACGGTGCTCGTTTACGGATAGAGGAAGCGATCGACGATGGGTGCGTGACTAAGGTTGGCTTACGCGTCGAAAGTATTTTTAATTCGCCCGATAATCCGACCAATTAAGACTTGTCAAAAAATAACTCGCGCTATATCGTCCATTTCTCATCCGCGAGTACTCGACCGCGGTTACAAATAGACGCGGATGACCTTTGCTAGCCTCTCGCTTTACAAGCTGCCGCTTTGAATAAAACTATTCTCGGGAAGCGTGTGTTTGCCCTTTAATTGGCTCGCCGACCTTAATTGCTCGGTGAATTTATCATCCTCCTCTTATCCGGCTGTACAGTTAGCGACGATCTTGTCGCGTCTCTTATTGAATCAGCCAGGACAATTAGCGCGATCAGCGCGAACTCGTTGGGATTTCTTTTATTCCGAAGGTAACGTCAAAGAAGACTATCGCTGGGTAGGCACTATCCCGAGAAAGCTTCGCTAATGGAAATCAGCTCAGTTCGACGGGACCCTTTCAGACGGCTCGTCTCTTTCCGGAAGCCTTTGAATCTGCAAAATCTCCAACACATGCGACCACGCCCTAATTGGCCCATCGATTTTAATCGTCGTGCTCGCTTTACCTCCATCCTGGGGCTCGGCGAACCGAGCGAAGGCATTTCGTCGTGTTCCTTCATCCCTTCTGTCGCACTTTGCAAATTTATTATAGCAGAAGCCACGTTGAGTTGAATAGAAATTGACTCGAGGAAGTGGATTTTATTATTCGACTCGACATCTTAATTAATTTAATTTAATCCAACTTTTACCGCGTACATTTTTCTCGAACTCTTGCACGGTGTCGGCATCTAAATTTAAGTAGCCCAAATTAAATACCGGTCGTGAACCACTCAGGCGAGATATGAGTTCTCGTAAAGGTGAACGACTACGAGAAGTAGTCTGCCCTGCTACTGTCGCAATGCACCCTAGCCTGTAAATTCGACAATCTAAAAAAATTCCTCTATGATAGTTACCACAGGAATAAGTAAATAAGTTTATTCGACGAGCGCTCCGTGTTCGCAAAGATTCCTCTTCTTGGCCCGTATCGTAATTCCTCTTCGCGATACGTTCGCCGTTTTCTCTTGAATTCTCATGTTCTCGCTGTTCAAACCGTGCATAACAAAGTGGCTAGCAAGTCTTTCCCATCGCAGGAAATTTTAATAATTCTCCGTCTGCAGAGTTTCTGTGAAATCGATGCCCGAGACTTCGCGTGATTTCTCCGAGTTGTTGCAACTGCGAAGATCTCAACGGGGAAGGAGTTAATTACGCGACATCTTTGTTCGTTCTCGAGCCTCGAAATATCGCGGTCTTTTCGCCAAGCGACGAAACTATGCCAAGTAGTTTTCACCCGACGCCTGAAAGCAGTCGTTCCTCGCCGAAGTTGCGAGGAAAGATCGCCGACTGCGAGGATGCCGAAATAATTAGCTGCGCCGATTCATTTAAATAATTCTCACTGTCTGCGCGCGCTCGGCGTTGCGTGTTCTCCAAGCGCTCGAGAGCCCATTGTTACCGGACGCGCAGAGAAAGCACACGGTGATTATTGTACCGCGAGTGATTAACGTTCCAGCTCGCTATTCCGCCGCGAACGTTGGACTTTTGAGCCATGTGAAACGAGATCCTGGTCCAGAGTTGGCAATTTCATTCGGAAGCTCGGGATTCGTGGGAATAAGAAGAAATACCTTCGGCGCGAAGGAGGTCAACTCCGTTAGTCGATGGTGTTCATTTGTTTTTGTTTCTGGGAATAAATGTGGAATTTTCATTCTTCCTTCCGAATATAATTTCCTCGAACAGAACAAGTCGGAGCATCGACGCAGAGTTAAATAAATTTGATCATGAACAAAGGATGAAAATTGCAGGGAAAGCAACCGAGACTTTCAAGGAACAAGCTGCGCAAATAAAGCAGCGTAAACACCATTGTCACGTGTACCCAGATTCTCGGAAGACTAACGTTCATGTTGGGAGTCCTTAGACCCGATAAAGTTGTAATCCTTCCGCTGAAATTCGCGATGTTTATGGATCGAATTAACGAAGCTTGAACAAACATAGCGGGTGGCCAAATTGTTCAGCTGTATATTTAGCGAACTATGGAAGGATCGAATGCTATTCCTCTATTGATACAAGTTGAGTTTCCTTGATCGTAATCGTCCTTAAGCATTCTTAAATTTCGTAGGGAAATGTGCGAACGGTATCAGAGACTGGAGGGTCGGGAATGGGAAGTGATTAGGTAACCGTACACGTTAAAAAGCTCATCGACAAACGGCGATATGGAAGTGCGAAGAAAAAGTCGGGGTTTTTCTCGGGGAAAGCTAGAAACTCGATACCCCGAGGAGTATCGATCCACCGTGTGATTCTGCTCGGCTTAAAAACATTATACCGTGGGCAATGTTCGTTGATATTCGATTAAGGAGTCTTAACTACCCCGATCCCTTGAGAAACAGGTCAATTGTCGGAATGTTTCAATGTATCTCTATTCTTCTGGAATTCGGGACGACCAGATTCTCGTTAGCTCTTCTCGATATCGTTCAGACCTTTTATTTTTTGTTATTTTTTCTAAAAACTCTCGATTCGCGGGCGCTCTGTTTACTCGATCAGCTCCGCGCGTATTCGTCATCGTTTGGCGGCGGCCCAACTAAGCCAGCCACTGCCAAGGAATCCTGGCCAGATTCCCTTTGGATATTCTCGACTTTTTAACCCGCGGAATTTCCTCCTCGCGACACCGTCGTCTTCGTTTTCCCCTCGATCGAATTTCTCGCCACTTTCCCCGCCCTCCTCGCCGTGTCCCGGATTGCAGAAATGGGCAAAATCCAGATGGAATAGCAATAACTGGATTTCGCGTTGTTCTATGGCGCAGGAATAACCAGGACAGTTCTTTTAATCGTTCTATAGACTTCCGGTTTCGTCCTGCTACAAGAAGATGGCCTGCTGCCGCAGTCGATGATGTTTCCTCTGAAAATTGTGGCTGGAAGAATCGTTTTACCTGATTAATTCTAAAAAGTTCGAGTTGATCCAATTTGCGGGCGAATTCTAATTCCGTTGGTAACGGTAAACGCTTCACGCCGTGGAAGGTACAACCTTGTTCCACGGTTACGGAAGCACGGCCACGCGAGAATTCGTAAAAGTGCGAAACGACGAGGAGAACACGACCCGTCCCGTTACGCCAGCAAATTAAAAATGGATTTCGCCGCGGATCCGACCTCCTACCTCGTCGAAACGAGTGGATTCGAAGATTCGGGGCTTCCGTGATCACCTGGGCTCGCATAATTGGCGGAGACCTCCCAGCACTCGAGACCTTTGGCTGACTGGGTCGAGTGGCTCCATCATGCTCTGCAATTTTTTTACTCAAACCGGTGATATCCTCTCGGTTACTCCGGACTATGGAAATATACAATTGGCAAAATGGTATTTAGAATTGTAGATCGGTGACTACATCTATTAATAATCAGCATTTTGAAAGTCAATATTTTGTGGACTTTGTGCATATACGACGATTAATATCTCATGAATTAATATAAGTAATATGATATTGCCATTTTATGTTAAACAAATGCACATATTCTGCATACGTTTCCATATTCACATCCTCGCTGATGAATATTATATTCATCGTACACTACATCTGCGATCATGAATCGTAGAATCGTCTAACGAAAATACCCAATAAAGTCAGTCGATCAATTTGAGGTATCGCGTCGACTCGCCAGAATTCTTGAAGCCGCAGTTTAATTCGACCCTGACGAGGTCTAGTCGCAACACCGACGGAAACAATGGTCCCCAAATACCGTCAGGCATGATTTAGATTCGCGGTTCTCGAATAGAGACGGTTCAAGTTCCCTGGCGTGCGCCTCGTTTCATTAATAAGAGCCTTCTGTCTCGTGTGAATCGCTCCGGCGTTCCCTCGAGCTGTGAAAACGTGGGCGTATTGATATCGGAACGCGCAGGATGATGTCTCGCGTCGTCGTTAAACGAGAACGGTTAATTACAGGCTAATCGGCGACGAGATCGTTTTCTCGTGCGCGGTGGAAACACTCGCGGCGATCGAAACGCGAGAAAGTGAAGTTCCGGTCGCGAAAACTCGATCGAGCTTGCGTTACGGTCCTTGTTGCTTTCAGGAAAGCTATCAATTATCTCCAGTGACAGAGTGACGATATCGCGAATTTTTGGTTTTGTTTCTTCGCTCGGTTTCTTCTCCAGACTTTCTAAAATGTATCGAACGCCCGTCCTGTTGATTCCACGGAACGCGGCGCGCCGATGATAAGAAATCAGCCCACTTAAACTTCGATTTAACGGATTTAGAATTTAATTTATGGAATTGTACGGTCCTACTTTGGCAAAGATAGGGAAAGTTCTTATCTAAGTGGAAATTTTACGAGTTTCCAAATAGACAACTAGGGTTCTTACAAAATTTGAATTTAAATGGCTCCATTTTAATAAAAACACCAACGAATACGACGCATTTGCGAGCGTTTCATTGCATCCAGCGGCAACTTTCGACCCGCCTCGCGTATTTGATTCGTTAGAAAATCTGACCGTTCGAGCAACTTTCAAAAATCGACGAGCCTCGGAGCTATGTTTACCGCATTTTTCGCGTTTCGTAACAGCTAACGGGTAAGCTACGCGAGGTCCATCAGAAAGCGCTTAGGCGGTCAGAAGTTCGTACGATAAAATATATAGCGGTTCGCGGCGCGTGCAGCGTGAAAAATGACGAGGAAATCGTTCTCAACATCTGTGTTCCTGGTTTCCAGGTTACTCACAAAGTGACGAGTCAGGTGATGGTCCTGAAGATGAACCAGCTGCCGGCGAACAGACCGAACATGCTGAAGGAGGTGCAGCTGATGAACAAGCTCAGCCATCCGAACATACTCAGGTGAGTCGAATCGAAATCCGGTTCACTTTTACGCCGGAGAAACTCGACGAGGGTGATCCACGGGGATCGCAGCACGTGCTGAATTTCCGCGTCGATCTTCCAAGCGCTGACTGAGTTCGGTCGACGTGCGAACAGTCACGTGTACCGTTCGCACGTTACTTTCTTTTTCTGAAAAAGAATATTTTAGATTAGCACTTTGGCAAATTTGATTATTTTCGAGGGATGTCTCTCGATTAAATCAAAGTGGCAAAAGTATCAAAAGTAGAAGTATTCGATAGTTGATGAACCCATCGTTATTTCGTAACATTTCGATCATTGAAAACGAATCTATTTACGGGCGAACATCTGCTACGTTTAAAGGCAGTCGTTATGCTATTAATAGATGCATCTTTGTAATAAGCTGTTGCTATAATAGAACTTGTATCGAATCGTGTCGCGCATTGACTAGCATAACGTGTCATTCATTGATCTAGCGCTTGAACGCGATACGCTTGCAAGCGGCCAATAATCCCCGCGGTTATGGAGTTGCAATTTGCGGAGCGCGCGCTCCAACATAGTTACAATAAAGTGGTACATTCTAACGGTTTACAAAATCAGTTTACGAACAATTTACTAATTGTGAATTCGTGTTTCGCGACGATTATCCAGCAGGCGCTCCGTTACTTAATTGAGGTTTCGTGTGCTGTCTTACAAAAATAAACATCGCTGGAACAAATTATTTCAGATGCACTGGCACAGTTCCTCTTTCTCCGCTAATAACTCCAGCGTTACATTTTTCCCTTTTGCCCTACTAACTTTGGACATTTTATTCTGTACATTGGAAAATCCACTTTCATCATGTATTCTAGTATCGTCCGTTTGTCCTGATTTCATCGTGTGGATATCAATTTACGGAAAATTATTGTTTTGCGAAAAACCTCGTTCTGCGATTCGAATTAAAGACTGAAAGAGGCGAACGCAGCGGAGGGACGCTCGCTTGTTGGAATCGAGAAGGATCTCGCAAAGTCAAACTGTTTTGGCGCGAAAGTGGCCCCGGTCACTCGCGAGCCGAGTGTTCCGTTCAGGTTGACGCAACTCGGGTCTCGGCCGGACGTCGAGGCTAATGCCAAAAGATTCCACGGTTCGCGAGTTACGAGATATGACATAACGGCGAACAGCGTGTCGTAGAGCCGCTGCGATGCTCTCGACTAGACGCGTCGCATCCGCGGCGACAACGCATTCCAACGATATAAACGGCTTGGCCCAGATTCGGCTGTGTGTGCGTGTGTTTATCCCGCAGCGACTAGCGGGATCTTATTTCTGGCATTTCTCTCGTTGAAGGCTGCGAAAACCGTGGACGACAGGCGTCGCTCGAGTGAGTCAGATCATTGGAAAAAAAAACGGATCGTCGGATGCGTGATATGCACCCCAAAGTCCCTAAGTTCGAACGGAAAAGGATCGAGTGGGTCGTTTTATTAGAAGTTACTCAAAGTTTGTCGTGGTTGCAGGAGGTCCTCGATTGTTGCAGGAAATTCGACTAGAGATTCTTGCAACTGTCGAGGCAAGAACACGTCCTTGCTAGGGGTGGTTAGAGGCCATCCACTTATCGACACCATGCAACAATCAATGTATACAATGGAAAAAAACCAGCCCTCTTCGATGCCTCTTTTTCTGGAAAGAAAGTCGTAAAACTCCTGCCTCGTCGATGGATTCCGTAACTGTTGAATCGATCCCCCGCGCCAGCTGTGCCCGGCCGGTTTCGGGGAACATGGATGAATGAAATCGGTCGATACTCTCGAAATACCATCCCCTTTCGGTGCAGAGATTTACTACGAATCGTATTCTCGCTTCAATCGATGGCCCTCTTCGTCGAAATTTGGCTCGGGCCAGGAACGTGCCAGCGAATAATTGGCTCGTCTAGTGGATTCGCAGCAGGGCTATTTTACTTTCCTTATTTTTCCGGAGTTATGCTCGAGAACGTTCCTGCAAAAAAGTCTCGTTCTTCGAATCTCGACGCTCCGATGCACAATTCTCTTGAAGCTAGATATCCAGACTGGTGTTAGTCTATCCGTTTGGTTAAACATTAGATCAGACGTTTACGTCGTAAAGTCACGTTTGATAGTTCCGACGATAAATCAACATCCAAACGCCTGTTTTGTTGTTAGGAGCGTCGGTTCGTTGACTCGGCGTTCGACGGGGTCTTAAAAACTATCGGTATTCGAAGCGTTCTTAATATTGGCCGCGTTTCCACGCTGCGGGGATCATCAATGATCCCTGAAGATATAAATACGTTACTCTTAGCCAGCGATGCACAAAGTCACAGGTCTGGCCCGCGAGCCAATACTTTCATCGCGTTTATTTGTCAAGTGTAATTTATACATTGCATTCCGCGCGATACTTGTAACTCATCGTTACGGATCCGACGGACAAATTTTGCTTATCTCTCGAAACTTTAGGAATCCGTTGTTGAAACGCAAACAAATTCTCGATGAAATCGAGACTCGTCGTTATCGCTACGCCGTTACGAGTAACCTTGGAGTAATCTCGAGAAGGAGTAACAACAAAGTGATTTGTTTCGCTTTATCAGATTTAAACTAAAAAATATCAACGCGGAGTCCCGTGGCGTTGTCTCGTATCTCTCACCAGTTTAGCAAGCGTTTCGTGCCACGCTTATCTCGATACACCCTGTACTATATATCGATAGTAGGAAATACAATACCAGCGTGATATGATAATATTTATTGTTTGTCGTGGCAAGAATTGCATATATCTTATCTCGGCATTTAGGAAGTATCAACCTCGATCCACGTTGTTTCGCTGAAACACTAGCCGACGGCTGTTTCGCGATTAAATCGATAGTGGCATGAAATGCTTCCTCGACAAAGAAGTACTGCGCTTGCACGAAAGAGCAGACCAAAGGCGAACGGGTTTGCTACTCGCCACGGATGGCTGTGATCATTTTTAGATAAATATCGTTGTTGAAACGTGGAAAGCGGACTTTAATAGCAAATATCATCTACATACTATAGATTCTTTAATTCATTCCAAGGTACAAACAAATTCCTAACCAATTTACGGATCAAAATACAAACTTTTTTGTTAACGTAGTAAGTGAGTTCGCTCCCTAAAAGTTTCATCTAACGAACGTGAAATTTGATTCTCCGGTATCGAATTGTCTTTCGTAGCATGATTAGAAAGATGGCGTGCGAATTTCGCGATGTCGACGGTCGCACGATCCTAACGTCTACGTAGTTACCGATCGCTTTATCTAGGATATCGCGATAACCGCGAGATAAAGTCGAATTGGTCGGTAATTCGTCGTGGAACGTGTCTGCGTGCTGATTATTAAGATATCGCTTCAATTGTTGACGTCCGGTTGTTGCCGCGATGAATTTGATACGCGCCTCAATAACATCCTGTGAACTTTTGTGTTACCCGTTGACGCAACAACCTTTTGCGGGGGAACAACTAAAATCTCAGATAAGCCTATCAGCCGTCAGTTTTGTTTGTAAAAGTATAGACACTTGAGCATAAACAATAATGTTTGAACGAAGGAAGGGATACTTCTCATAGACAAACTTGGATATGAAAAGCGATACAGTGGCTCCTTCAGCAGCCATTTCGTTGAGAGTATCTCCTGATACGTTTTTCTCGTATTATCGCAAGATACCGGAATTCGATAAGCTTGCAGCGTCTTATACTTCGCTACGTGCTCAATCTGATCTATCGGAGATAGCGAAGTTGCGACAGATATCTTGTAAAGTTGGTGTACGATGTCCGAAGTACGTGTTGGCGCACGTAACTTAATCCACTTCGATAACTCTGTAAATGAAAAAGACAAATAATCCCCGCGAGGGGATTTCTAGAAGTCGATGGCGAGTCCTCGATCCGTCAGCTTTCGTCGCAATCGGTAGATAACAGGACGCGGTCGCATAAATTACCAGCGATCCTGGACCCAACTACGAGATAACGTAGTCTGCGGGAGCGGACAGTTTACAAATGAAGACACAACGGTTAACAATAAGTCTGGCGTTAATTGGCGCTTATCGCGACACCGGCTTGTCACGTTAGCGGTATGACATTCTAGCAGAGTCGACCTAAACGAATCTCAACTTTGCCCCCATACTCGAAGCCACCTGCGGAGCTCTATCTAATCTCTGGCTAGAATCGCTGAGCCGACACACAGGCGCTTTCCTGTTGAGCATCGATTCTATCGCGTCCCCGTGAAACTAAAACGCTACAGACTCGCGCAATTACTCGCCTCTGCTGACAACACGTAGATGAATAGCGAGATAGATCTCGCGCCAGAGATCATCGTCTTAGCTCTCGGCTAACACAAGATGAAACAGGCAACGACGCGTAATCGAACGCTAAGTGAATCTAAATAACAAAATTGGATGGTTATCTTTGTCGAAGAACAACAAAATTTAATCAAATACTCCGATAACGATGAAGGATAATTTTCAGAATATTCGCGGACTAGTTTTCAGCGTGAATATTCAGTGTCGCCAAATGTTTTCCAAAGAAAGATCGACCCGTGGTGAAATTGAGTAACGGTGGGTGAAGCCAATTAAAACTAACGAGAGGAAAACATCGTTTCTGAACGGAAGCTCTTTCGACGCCTTCTAACCGATCCGAATTTTCCGGTTGCTCGATCGTCAAACACACAGAGGGTTGAAGGTCTATCTCCAGCGACCATTCCCCTGGATCGAAGCTTCGTTAGAAGCTCGTTGGATGTCAATAGAGCATCGTGTCGAATCGATACCCAGCCCCCTTAATCCTCTTATCCTCGCGTGGACACGAAGAAATAAACTGCGCCACGGTCTGCGATCGTTGTTGCGAGAAAAATTGCTCGCATTTTGCCTGGGAAAGCTGATTCTCGGAAATGCTCATCAGCGGCACTCTTTTTTGAATAATTGCAGTTTCTTGCGGTGACTTCGTCTTTTATTTTAAAATGTATGATCTGCGAGTTAACCGGTGGCACGATACGTTATTGTTGCAGATACACGTGATCTAGTAATGAAATATAAAAGTAAAAGTAAGGGAAAACATTGATATACATATAAAGGAAGAGAAAGGCGGGAGAAAACATGGAAGAATAAAATTGAATTAATAATAGGCTCGACGAACGAGAGAAACCAAGAATTATCATCGAGTCAAGGCACCAACGAATTCTATGCGTGGTCTGTTATTTAAGGAAAACTAATGTCGGATCGAACAAGGCCTGGAATATGATAATTAACGCGAAGTAATTCACCCCAACAATGCTGGTTTGAAACCCTGCCCAAACAGCAAAGTTCAACAGTTGCATCAACGTTTCCAGGTTTCGATATTCGGAGTCACGTTTCGCACGAGTGATCGAGCTACCATTCTAGAAACTGTTTACACGCGGTTTCCACTCGGTCCCAAAATGTTAAGCTTCGAGTGGCTCCCAACTGGGGATGCACTAACGATGATGCATATCGTCCGCGTTCGACGTGTTTCTATACGCGAGTGAACGAAACAAATGTCAAGCCTCGCCGCTAATCTATTTATAGCCAGGTAGATTCATTCGTTTCGAAACGAAGAACTCGCTGAAAAGCATCGTACCTATTCCTGTCTAAACGCGCCGGCGGATATTGTCAGAAACCACGGCAGATCGTTCGATACCGGCCCCGGCGCACAAATATCTTGGCCGAGCGCATTGTCCAGCAAGCTTTCAGTGGCTTGGACAACGAGAGACAATCGTTGACCCCGCTGCTCGTCCCCGTGTTTCATATCATAGCCACTTTTTTTTTTTTTATTCGTCGTCCTTTTGTTCCCCGACTCGCGTCGAGCCATTCTGGGTCGAAGACCTTCGTCCTGCGATTGTCCTCGGATGGAACACGAAACAACTCTCGTGGGAGGTGGTCTGTCTCGCCAATTTCCTAAAAAACTCGGTTTATACGAAACTATTTTATATTTTAACGAAGGCAGTGTTTAATGGGAGGGAGTGAGGGGCATATAATTAATTTATGCAATTGTACTCTGTAAAGTATAAGTTAGCTGTTGAAGAAAGCAAAGTAACTTGTAAGTGACCTAGAAATGGGGTCAGTTGAGACCCCTACAAGTACTACTCGGGTTAAGATGCCCCGACGAGCATTTTTCTCAGTCGAGAGCTGTTCGCACAGGTGTGCGCGAAGCCTCAAAAACGATTTACCCATTCTGGGTCGAAGACCTTCGTCCCGCGGCTGTCCATGGCCGGAACACGAAGGTCGCAGGCCTTTATAGGGAAAGATGAGTAACGAGCGCAGCAACTTCGCGCTTCGTGCGTGGATTGGCAAAGAGAGCCGTGGCCGCCACTCGCTGGGTAATTAAACCTCGCTCTCCGCGCGTCAGAAAACTTCGCCTTTAGCGCGTCGAAGCGTTCCATTCGCCGATGGTTCTCCGTGTAAGGACGGACGAAGGTGGCAACGTTCGACCATCGATGGATGATACACGTTTCTCGAGAAATGCAAGCGAATTGGATCAATGGAGTCTCCTAATTGTTATTATTCACCTTTAATCCAATAGTTGGGATTTCTAGACGCTAAAAACTAGAGCTATCTTTCTTCCTAAAGCCTTGCAACCTCTGACCATCGAATTAGGAACACCTGAAATTGGTCTTCACCCCTTCGCAAAAAAATTCAGGTCGAATACCTTCAGCACACACCTGTACAGATACCGAAAACTGTATCTAGAGATTCTCGAGTCTACGAGAATCGACCTCGCTTAGATTTCAACAGGACATAGTACTCGCACCTATTGCGTTACCTCGGCAGCATGCAGGTAGCATCAAGCTAGAAATTCAAGATACGCTCCTTCAAAGGGGATTTCAGCCTCTTTCCTCGATTACGCGAAGCATCTGCAATTCAGGCTCGTAATAGGGCTTGTGGAACAGGGCCAGAAGGAGAAGCAGATCTTGCAATCGACCGGGTCACAAGAGCGGAAATTACAGTAATAACTACAATGTTAATAATTGCACGCCGAAGAAAATAGCACGCATTATGCCTGGAGATTGTGGAATAATAGAGTAAACGGCCCTCTAGTCGAGGAGCACCGTTTCCCATAAGTATAGATCCTCCGTCCCCCTTCCCAGGCGACGTTCCCGCGATTCTCAGCTCAACCCTCGGTTCTGTCCCTTTCGTAGAATGCTAAATACACCTTGAGATCCGTATCACTTTAAATAAAATCAAAACTCCATTATTCACCTACAATCGAAGATCAACAGAGCCCGTTCGATCTGTTTCAGGTTCATGGGAGTCTGCGTGCACGAAGGTCAGCTCCACGCCCTAACGGAGTACATAAACGGCGGCAGCCTGGAGCAGCTGATCATGTCGAGGCACACGCCGCTTCCTCACCTGATCAGGATGAACCTAGCGCGGGATGTGGCGCGTGGCATGGCCTACCTTCATAGCCGCGGTCTCTTTCATCGCGATCTGACGTCGAAGAACGTTCTTATCAAGAAGGACGAGATCACGTCGGAGATGATGGCCGTGGTAGGCGACTTTGGGCTGGCGGCGAAGATCCCGGATCCCAGCTCGGGGTACAGGCTCAGCACCGTTGGCAGCCCCTACTGGATGTCGCCAGAATGCTTGAAGGGTCAGTGGTACGATCACAGGTCGGACGTTTTTTCGTTCGGGATCGTGGTTTGCGAGCTGATCGGCCGCGTGCCCGCCGATCCGGACGTTCTGCCACGGTCAGATAACTTTGGCCTCGATTACCTGGCCGTGGCAGAGATCTGCGCCGCGGCCGATCCACCGCCAGCCTTCTTGCAACTCGCCTTCTACTGCTGCACGGTGAGTACCACGCGCTTGGCATTTTCATTTCCGATTTTTATCCTGTACCGATGATTTTGTTTGCAAGTTCTTTAGTCCAAATTTCTGAAATTTACTGACGGTTCCCATCCTAAAATCGCGCATTGGCAACACTCGCGAACGCGCCGGAGACGTATCGTTGACGATAGTATTTTATAAACGTTACGAAATGCGAGTGAGATCATCTCTTGCATCAAGTTTCACGCGACGCAGAAAATGGTCCGCTGTAAACATGCCACTGCAGTGTCTTCTGTGTACATAGTTCCAAGAGCACCAGGACGACATCGTATAATACATCGATCATCGATCGTATTCTATCAGCGTCAGTCGTTTGATCGAGTCGCTTCCTCCTCTGATTTCAGTACGAGCCAAAGTCCAGACCAACCTTCCCGGAGATCATGTCCACTATGGACGGGATGATCGCCAATTACGAGGACGACTCTAAGAGCAGTATCGGGAAACGTCAGTCGGTGGATCCAGCCCTGATGTCCAGCATGGACGAGATCACGCGCGAGGGACGATCCATGAAGCGCAAGACCTCTCGGCTGAGGAGTCAGTCGGCGGACGCGAGAGGCTGCGACAACGCGACGCCTTCCGATAAGGCGAGATGTCACTCCGCGAGAAGAGTCGCGGAGCTCGCCAGCAGAAGGGACCCGCATTACAGGCCCATGACGGCGAATCCATTTCACGCGCTCGGTGGCGTCAAGAAGATCCTCGGCGACTTGTTTTCCAGCTGCCTGGAGCTGCCGTCTCTGGAGGATGTCAGGCCGAGCGTCACCGATGCCATCGCCAAGTTCAAGCCCGCGCAGAACGACAGTATCGCGAAGATCTTGGACAGGAAGAAGCCGAACTCGGAGCCCAGCAGCCCGACCGCCAGAAAGAAGTGGGAGAGAAAGGTACGGATTGACTTTCGATCCGATTTCGCGATATCGGTTAGGCGATGCTTGAGATAACGATTGCTACTTGGCGTGGAGAAATGACAGGTCGTTTCGTAGGAGTTGATATCGATGAGTCAACCAAAGGAGTATTTCTGGTTATTTCCAGGTGGCTACGAAGGTGGGGGCGGCGAGTCTGTTCACCCATCCGCTGTTCCGGGACGGTTGGGAGCCAAGGAGACGGGGCAGCTGCGAGTCAGGGTTTTGGAGCTGCGTAGGGGAGGATCTCAGTCCTGAGCCCCCCAACCGCAGGCACACTTCGACTCTCAGCAGTTCCGCTGCTAGCAGTCTGTTCCTATTGGACGATCACAGGACCAGCTCCATATATACCGACTCGTCCGAGGACATAGCGAGCCTAGGTGGCGGTGACTCCTGCTGGGAGGATAGGTTAAGCGGCTTCGGGTCTTCCAGTAAAACCATTTCCAAAATCGTCGAGTACTTCGAGAGGAAGCAAGCTGGCAGCTTGAGACTTGCCGATCACGATGCCGGTTCCAGCAGGCTGACTCTGTTGAAGGCGAGCTTGGAAGGTCCGGTTCCTCTTTGCAGTATCTCAGCCGCGCAGAGGTTGGTCGTTTGCGAGGGTGCTGTGCGCAGCAAGCTGCCTCTTTTCGACAAGAAGTGATACGCCTTGCTCGCGAATCGCAGAGTTCGTCCCTTAGGGTTTCTCGGCTTTCTGCCGGTATTCGTGATCCACGCTGATACGCCTACGCGGAGAAACTCTTCGACGTATAGTCGATGGAACAAATATAGCAATCTCGCTAAAGCTGCTGGCTGCCAAAACGGTAGCGCCTTCGACTGCAGAGTGCCAAGAATTCAAGGTCGGCCTGGAGGAATCTTTCTCGAACGCTAGAACTTCTCGAGACAGGGATTCGGATAATAAACTGAGTCATTCTCGGTAACTGGTAATTTGGATGCGAATCAACGCGAGATTTTCAAATTTCGGTTGGGTATATTTTTACAACCAGGATATTACGGGACTCTTAGAGATGAATATGAACGCTGTATAAAACAAACCTTTTCGAGAAATAACAATTCGTTGCGACCGCAAAAGCGGAGCGCATCAAACAGTTCACAGTATGCCAAATCGTCTGAAAATTGCCTACTAAAATGCTAATTACGTCTAGTATCCACCGCGCAAGTACAAATATTATTGCGACTGTTAATAGTTTATTTAAATTTCCGTTTCCGTTGCATCGAACTGTTATTTTTCATAAAAGAATTTATCTATAAGAATCCTGCGACAAACCGAAAAGGATAACAGTCTGCAGTCATCGATCGAAAGACTAGAAATACTTCCGTGACTCATGGCGAGTCACCGCAAAAGGTTTACGTCGGTATCGAGAATCTTGAAAGCAGCTGCAGTCCCGGAAGTTCTCTAAAGTTCTACGAGGACGCATCGAGCAGACTTGCCGCGCGAAACGGCCGAACACAAACGGAATCGAGGCGCGACTATACTTTCATCGAACTTCACCACTGAGCAGACCTCGAAGTAGACTCGGAACTGACCACTTTGTCCGCCATCGAACGAAACTAATTCGGCTCGAGTTCGGTGAAACTATAGTCCGGACACGAATTTAGCAGGCGCTTCACTCTAAAATCTAGTAACCCGACTGTGATGTTTCTTGATAATCTACATACATTATTGATCCGTACGACTACGTTCGATGAAGCTGTCGACTCTAATTCGCCGTTTCGCGTGCAACCTTTGAAAAAACAATTGTCGGTACTCGATGGAACGGATACTGATCGAATGGAACAAGATGAAAGAACGCGTCGATGTAAGAGAAATGGAACGTTCCGCGAGTTCGTTCCGAGTACTTGAGATTCTTCCAAGGCCAACGTATTTCCCTAAGATGTACAATGTTTTCGAGAGAACAGTTCCGAGTTCCAAGGGATCGAAGAAAGCAATAGACGTTTCGTTTCGTGACTGCGGCAATCGTAATGCCAGTAGAAACGCTGCTCATGTTCTTACCTTTCGCGCAGTGCCTCGCAGTTCCTAGTTAGCCACCTCCGTCCTTTATCCACGTTAACCGACTTTTTACCGACCGCTATGACGACGATAGAAGTAGAGACGCGAATTTACCCAGTTGTAAACAACGGCTACGTTCGTGAACGGTTTAAGAACGTTGCGTACCTCCATCGAATTCGTTTCACCCTTGGTTCAACGTTGTACATCGCTACTTTCGGCGCCAAATATTGGAGTTAACATTGGTGGATGCGTTGCTCGCGCGAGAGAGACGCGGATGTCGACTCGGACACCTGAGAACAAGCACGATGTACAGGAGAAAACGGCAGAAGTAAACCGGAAGTGTGAAATAATATTTTTTTACGAAAACATTTTATTCCGTGCTTTGGACTGGCGAGGGAGTTCGAGCTGTTCCCTTTCTACCGCAACTTTCTTTTTCCAGGACGATCAGCTACTTTGCATCTTCTTTTGTATAGTAACGTCGTGCTTGTTCGCGAGACACGAGAGTTCATCAGGGCCTAGACGATCGTTTTTATTACATTTCTGATCGAGCCGAATGATACACTTCCCCCAGCTGGCGACGCCTCGACGCGAAGGTCGGGCGTCGCGAGCCTCTTAGAATAGTACTCGAGACGAGAGAAGGAGACATAGTATATTTTGTTGACAGAGATGACACCCGCGTGTCCTGAATATTTTTGTTGACGTGTAAAAAAAATCGGGACGATGATGGTCCACTTCGAGAGAGGGTGAAAAAGGGAGAGAGAGCAAATGAAACTGATCTAGTCAGTGTATTATCGTGGCGGCCTTATCTTTTGTACGTCGTAGCGCTAATAACTTAAGTGTTCCACGGAAAGCGAACGAAGCGTGAGTGAGCGAGAGAGGACCGCTGTGGTCGTTGATTGGGACACGTTATCGGAGATGACAAAATGAAACTCGGAATGTACATGGTGATTTGTGAGTGCGAAAGCGGTGTGCATGTTTAGAAGAACGAAGAACGAGTCGTGTCCTTCGATTGGTTCCTCGAGATCGTGCCTCTTCCGACGCAGGTTTTCACGTGCATAGAAGGGTGAAATCGATGCGACACGCACAGGACGTATTGCTTTTTAGTTACGCCTGTGTTACGCGAGTACAGTATTCGTTAAATGGCCCCTGGCAATTCGTCTTCCTGATCTCGTGTTTTCCGCGATTCTGTTCGTTTCAACGAGGGATATTAACCCTCTACTTCGCAATGCACCCAGATGATTCAACGAGGAGGTTCAACGAGACCATTTCACTTAAATGTTTCCTTTCTGCACGATTCAATTTTATTTATTTAATCTGACATACGCACTGATATGGAGGGAAGTGTTTTTTTTTTTTACGCTAATTTATGGTATAAATAAACAAGATTCTTTTAACAGATTCGTGCAGTAGAGGGTTAAGTCATCCTCGATCCGACATCGAGAGCAAAGGTTCCTTTAATTTCCGAATCTTTTGCGTATGCTTCCAAGAGGATACTGTGCCAGCGTAGCAGATCGAGTCTTGAGGATCTTGGGTAGCTACTAATTCGCGCGACAGTGTAAATCGTCTCGTCGCCCTGGTTGCGGGACGAGTCGAACCAAATTTCTACTAGAATAATAGGCCACACTATACCTTTTTACTTGTCAGAGTTCGTTCACGGGTTCTACTTGATAAGACTGCGTGTTTGTTAAATATGTACGTAAGTAGTAAGTTCTTGATCATTCGCAGTCCCTTCTTCCTTGCCTAACGGAATGCACCGTCGACCAGAAGAGCCAAGATTTTCTTTTCTCGCCTCCCCACCGAATCGATGCAACAGTAATCCACCAGCGGTTTAAGATATTCGAACAGAAGATTCCGCTTCCACCCCCTTATCGTAGAAGATTTAATTTTCTTTTTTTAGGAGTACCTGATGGAAAAAGCTAATCCTCCGGAATGTATCTTTTTACCGTTTTTCGAGGCGAAGGGTAGCTTCTGCATCGGGGTGGGCTATTTCGAGAACGATGCGTTCTGTTTCGACGCGTCAATCGGTACCTGAAGAAACGTAGAAGTAAGGACTGCGAATCGCTTTTATTTTTAATAGTCGCGGACATATCAGGAGTGGGCATATCCTGAAAACGGTTTGTTGCTGGTGAGTGATGATCGACAAGTGAGGAATGAGAGACAGTGAGAAAGAAAGGTAATATGAATGAGAGAGAAAGGTAATATTACACTGAAAGATTGACAGCGAGAACATGAATGTTGCGGAGCGTAAATGATTTTTAAAGTACATCGGGCTCGCGAGACCGAGAGGCGCATTTTTTCTTCTTAAAGAGGGTTATTTATTTTAAGTAAAAAAAAAAAAAAAAAAAAAACAGGTATACTGTAGATAGACACACTTAGAAGTCCACTTAAATCGTCTCTTCCAATACTTCGTTTCATTTCTTCTTTTTTTTTTTCTAGCTGTACATATATTATATTATTACGTGAAAAAAAAAACTATAATACTATTTCAAGCGAAACGTTTCGCGATTTCCAAAAATCGGGTCGTTATATATATACACACACTCACAAAGGGTCAAACAACAGCATGGATCTTCGCTCTTACGGTCGTCCTGTCGGACACAAACAAAATAATAAAAAAGGGAAAATCGCGATTGGGGATAATAGAGATGACGATGGTACTGAGGATAATAATAATTCTAATACTTAAGAATTAATATAACCAATGTGAAAAACAGATTTCAGCGAAGCTATATTATATTATATATATATATATATATTGTAAAAAAATTCCTATATACAAGAATAAAGTTAAGGCTCCAATTTTTACCAAAACAAAACATCTTTACAGCCTTTTCAACGTCCTCGGGATGCAATTTCCACGGAAATCTAACAACTAATCAACGTTTGTAAACAAACAATGCGGAACAATGATCGAGGGAACGTAACGATTGCCTTGCTCGCGGTTTTAATCAGTCAGCTTGATCTCAGTCTACCTTAAATAAAGAAACGTCAGTATTATTATCAATATTCCACATACTGATAATAATAACAATATAATACTGATAATAATAACAATAATAACTACATACTGATAATAATAATGACGTTATTATTATTACTATCATCGTTTACGTAGAATCTGATCCGAGCAACCGATCAACTATGCGTGGCAATTATCGAACGATAAATACAATCAACCAAGTTTCAAATCACAACAAACATCTTAGACAACAATTCCACGAATTCAATCGCAGCGTTCACTTTCGAATATTATTTTCTCATCGTCCTCAACGCTCCCTGTCGATGGAGAAACGAGGCCTTCCCAAATCCTCTTCCGGTAACAGAGGTATGTACCTAGTTCTGGGATCTTTCTTTCTCTCGTAGGCGTAAGGGAAGACCATGCTTCTCCTAACGGAGCTTCTCGTTTCCTTTTCGGGTTCCTTCGGTCTGGGGATTCTCTGAATATTCGAGTGGGTCGATACGCTAGGACGAGGTTCCGTAGCGACCTCAGGGCTCGTCGACGACGACTCCCTGGTGTCTTCAGCGACCAGAGGTATATACTTCCTCTCCTCTTTCACCAGAGTAACGGCATCCCTCGAATCACTCTCGTTGCTCTTCGTTATTTCAGGTTCCTCTTGAGCTTGGACGGTGTCCACCTTGCCAACCGTGGTAGCGCTAGCTTTGCCGGAGGTATTACGCTCAGGATCCTCGTCCTTCGTCGTGACTGGCACCCAGTCGTCTACCTCCGGCCCGAAGCTACTGCTTTCGAAATTTTCATACCTCTGCGTTGACCAATTGTAATTCGTGTTCTCCCAGCTGAGGGATCTGGACACGTTGAAATGTCTCCTGGAGACAACGTTGAAAGACGCGGACGGTCCTATAGGGATCCATTCCTCGTTTTCCTGACTCCCATCCAGCCTTCGAATCCCCGACTCCGACGAATTTGACTTAGCTTTCTCTGGAGTGACATCCTCGACTGTCGCTGGCACCTCCGCCGACGCGTCCTCGAAAGGATCCTCGTTGGAGGCTGCTATATTGGACACGGATTCCGTGTTACTGTTCAGCTGATCTTGGTTCGCTTCCACGTCTCGATTATCCTCGGCAGATATCTCGCCCAATCGCGGAAAGTACTTGGGTTCCTCGTACCTCGATCCAGTAACGAAACTAGGAGTGTACTGTGATATCAGAGGTAGAAGTGTCTGCCTAGCGTACCTTTCTGCTTGCGCGAGGATCCCTGCCAGTCTCTCAGGAAGGAACTGAACGGTGAAGGACCTGGTCGTGGAGGAAGTCTCTTGTATCTCATCCTTCTGCTTCTCGCGAGGATGGACCTCGTTCCTGGTGTTCTGTCTGGCCGAACGTGGCCTGAGGATCGGCTCGGTGATCACTGGGAGTTTCAAGGACCTCCCAATTTCCTTCTTACCGACTTGAAGCACTGGTTCGCGGATCTCCGTCAGCAACTCCGTGGTTGCCTCCGACGAACGATCGGAAGACGGTGCTTTCGGGAAGAAATTAGGGCCCGAGAATCCTCTGCCTCGTTCGGAGTCTGTATTCTCCAAGGAATTGGAGTCCCCGTCGGCTGAAATGTCGAGGATGTTCCAAGGATTCGAGGTGCTGCGACGAGTGACGGAGTCCTCGAAGCTGTTGGGCTTGAAGCTCTCCTTCCGTTCGATCACGCGCAGGTTTTGCTCTTTCGTGAAGGGACCCAAGCCTTTTACCGTGGACGAGGACGACGGTCGCTCTTTTGGGAACGTTTCCACCGTGAAACTCTCTTTAGGTTCGTAGTTGTGCTCTTTGGTGAACGGACCGATGCCAACCTGCTTCTCCTGGAGCAGACGCTCCATGACGACTGCGGTCGTCGAGTTGTCGGCGTCCGTGGGCACGTTGCACTCGCCAGGGAAGAGAGGCAGGTAGACGGGCTTGCCGGACTCCAGGGTCAAGCCTTTCCTGCAGACGGAGAGACTCTTCCCGAAGCTGTCGATGATGGCCACTTTGTCGATGCTCCAGGACACCAGTCCTGAGGAGATCCAGCCGCTGTAGGCGGTGTATTTGATCTGCAAAATGAATAGGTACAGTCAGTCCCATAAGTACTCGCACCATCTATGTTCATTGAAGAAGTTTGTCTAAATTAAATGATATGCTTAATATTTCCAAATAAATGTTTCATTATGAATATGTATATGAATAAATTTTGCACATGTATATATAATGAAAAATTGATATGGGAACATTAAACCTATCATTTAATTTGGACAAATTTCTTCAATAAACATAGAAGGTACGAATATTTATGCGACTGGCTGTAGATAGATAGATAGATGGATCTAATGCTAAGTCAGAATATAGAGAGATTTACACCCTGAAGAGTACCCACCCACCCACAAAACTACTAACAGTTAGACGCTGTGGATCTTTCAGCGCTCACCTCGATAGCGTCCAAACTCGAGATCGCAGGATGCGGCACGACGATCTTCTGAAGAACCGATCCAACCAATAGCTCCTCGTCCTTGCGCGTCATGGCGAAGCTATCGTTGAAAGAACCCTCTCCGACCAGAGTCACCTGCAGTTTCCCGTAGGTCTTGGTCGGCCTCTCGCTGTGGCTGTTGTAGACCTTCACCTGGTACTGGTGAGCGCAGAAGGGTTCCTCGTCCCTGGTCAGTAAGTAGAGTTGCCCTCTGGCTGGGGACTCGTCGCTGTAGTAGCCCATGTCGCCGCACGGTCTGCCCATTCCGTTCGATCCGCAGGGGAAACAGTCGCCTTTGAGCAAACCGTCGTAGCCTCGCTCGCAAGGAAACGCTGGGAAACGGCATTTGGGGCTAACCGAGTCCGTGAAGAGCTTGTAAGCTCGACGATGGTTGCACAGGGACCTGCCCTCCACGGCGCTTGCTGTAACCAATGGAGAATTTACGATGCTAAACTTCCGAGAATTGCCGGATAAAATATTGGGTCGTCTGGAAAGTCCATGTTGATTTTTACTATGACGCGGACTTACACCAGATGATGTCTGACACTGCGCCCAGAAACAGATTCGAGCAGCCTGTTTGCATCCTGCCGCCGTTAGGGTAGAAGTCCACGTCGCCCATGGGTTGCCAGGAGCCCAGCCCACCGAGCAACAGTTGCTCACCGTTGCTGTGGATCACGTCGACAAAGTTGGCGTCGGTTTCGTCGAGCCTGGCTCTCGGATCTTGGGACTCGAACAGCGGCCCCGCAGGATCCAGCCCTGTGGAAAGATCGCTTTTTTAAAAATCGTCTTCGGTACATTGTTAAATCTAGAAAGACGGAAATTTAGAAGATATCGATGCAGATATCGAAAAAAAACGTGTCTTTTATGTTTGTCTGTGGCCTTGTAGGTGGAAAAGTGAATGCCGTTGTTGCATATTAGCGTCGTAGAGGAAAGAACACTTTCCAAGAGCTTGTAAAAATCTCCCACGCGTGTCGATCGAGGAAAACTCAGCGTGTTTATTTCACGCTCTTTTCGCGGATGTCCTTGTTACAGTTTCCAAGTGAACGGTAGTAAACTAATCGATCACCCATAGATTGCTACTTAATAGTACTATGATTTCTGTTTCGTAACATTGCAACTGAGAAACGCAGGAATTCATAAGCGTACATTATTGCTGTATGATTAACCCAATTTGCTAGCTGGAGCATTGGAAGCCTACTCTCAACGATTTCGTAAATTGCAGCTGGAGCCGTGACGAAACGTCAACAAAAAGTGCAATGAAATCCAACGATCGATGCATTAAAACATTGTAAATGTTTCCACTTAGTCGGAGATTCAGGGTATGTCCCAATGAGGCACCTTTTACTGGTCCAGACGTGGGTTCCCAAGGACAACAGGATTGGACGAGCGTTTGCGCCGCGTTGCGTAACTCGAGTTCAATAACTGGAACTTTGATCACACCTCAACGAGCTCGGTAATGTCTCAAAAGGAACGGAGTAGTAAACTGTGGAGTTTGATTTGTCGGAACAGCGAATTGGAAACTTTTACTCTGGACGACACAGTCTAAACGTACTCGTCGAGTAAATGGAAGGAAATGACGCGGAGTAGATCCAAGGGAAGTGACACGTGTTTGAGTACCTGTGATTCTGGAAACGTTGGCCAATTCAGCGCCAGCAAATCCAGCTACGTGAGCGCCGAGGCTGAATCCGATCAGATGAACCCTCTCTAAGGGCACGTTCAAACTTCTAATTAACTTCGCCAACTGCCTGCCTACCAAACGAGTATTGGCGGCTGCTCTTACATAGTTTGGAACTGCACTTCCTGGACCCCAATCGACGCACACTGGAAATTGATTTCACGTAAATACAAGAAGCAGAGGAGTTTGAGAAGTATGGTGGAGATTTTTCAAAAAGCGGAGTTCAATCGACGTGTGCAGTGAACTACCGATGTATATCGTTACTGGTAAACGCAATAGTAAAGTCTGAATTGTCGCAAACCTATATTGCATTCGTGCACCGTCATCAGGGCGGACCTCATCTCGTAAACCCAGACGTGATCGCAGCTGGACCCGAATCCATGAACGATCACCTTGGTGGGTAGATCGGGATCTATGGCACGATGCGCGTTATCGTTTATATCATCTGCAGGAACTTCCATCGGGATCGACCTCGCCTTTCTGCTCCCGTACACTAAAAATCTGTAACAATACCGATTTACGACCTTGCCACGAACCAAAGAATTATTTGAACGCACATCGAAAGTTTCTGTCCAACGTAACTATGATTAGAAAGTATGGAGTTTATTAATAGAATCGGAATTTCTTGGCTCATCTGCGTCAATTGTCAACAAATATTTGCACAACTTGACTCACGCAACTGACCAAACATTCTTCTGCGCACGAAGGTGTAAGGGAAATAGTGGCAAGAAGATTGTGCAACTGGTCGCAACGTTCAGAAATGAATATTACTTTTTTAGAGAAATTAAGTATGAAGCTGCGGATTACCTAGTGCCAACGTCTTTCGGGGGCGACGGGAGCATCTCCAAGTAGCTAAAGGGCCCCGTGTCCTCGAAGCAGCCGACATCCTCGTAGCAGACCTTCGAGACCTCCCTCTTCGCCCTGTGGCTAAATTTCTTGTGCAGAGTCCACTGCTTCATCGACTCAACGACAGCTCGAAAAATTTCTGCGTCGTTCTTCTCGTCTGCGGACTCGTCGAGTGGCGTTGGCCATCCTTGACTCACCGCAGGATCTCCTGGAAAATCGAACGTTCTGATTATTTTCAAATTTTACAGGCCGCACTCGATCGAAATGAAATTTAACCGAGTTCAATGATGCGATAATGAATTAAATAATTAGTCAACTATAAATGTAATTTTTCGATATCGCCAAACGAAAGATTACACAACCAACGAGCGACGCAGGCGTTTAATGGGACAGTTTTACAAGCAATCGATTCGTTAATTGTTCGTAACAGCGCACTAACGAGAGTCAAAATTCTCGCGGCAGTTGCACGCATCGTGGATCGGATTGATAGATCCGGCGAACCTTTTTGTAACGGGTTCCTCGGCTGGTTGCGCCGTTATTAGCATAACGCCTGGATAACAATCTTCTGGAGCGCGATGCCATTTTACTCTCCTCCTGTCTTCCCTGCTTCAGAACCGAACGACGCCGGAAGACGTCGATAAAACGCGGGAACCGAGCCATGGCGCTTCCTTTTTCCCAGGGCGTTGCCTCCTGGTGCATCGTAGCGTGGGAGCGAGGGTCTGGTGGACCAGAACCACAGCGATCAAAGCATCGACGAGCTTCGACCAAATATCGGGGACACCGAGCGACCAACCTGACCGCTAACTGTACGCGTCATCCGCGTAGCCGCATCTGCTCGGAACCGATAGTCGTGAGAAGGGAAAGTTAGATGATCGATAGAAGTCGAGCTCACAACTCGTCGAAAAGCGCTAGGAAATTGCTGGTAAACGTCGCGTGATCAATCGTGCGACGATCTAGGAAATCGAATGTCTTTTTAAATGTCTTTTCAATTAAATTTTTTAATTAACACGTTGATCTCCATGTCACCCATATATAAATGACGGTGCTTTCCACCGAAGAACTAAAAACAACGAATTCTGGAAGTCAAGCAACTTCAAATGAATTCAAATGAAATTCATGAATTTTGATAAAGTTACAAAAGTAGATACCACGATAAATCTTTGATTATGTAGTCCTCTACAGTTTAAATAATATTTAATACTAGCAGAAATGTTCAAGAATATTTATCCAGTCTCTTCCAACCATTCTTCGCGCCTTGACGACTAAGAAACTACCGGAAAAAAAAAAAATGCATAATCGAAGGAATAAAGTGGTAAAGAATGACACAGCGAGTCGTGGATGTCGGTCGTGCTGTTGCCACGGTACCGATTCCTTTCCAAAGATAGAGTCCAAAGTGTCAAGTGTCCGGTGGAAAAATCGCTGGCACCAGTGGCGTGGAGATTGCAGGTCGAAGAGTCGCGGATCGAGATTGTGACCGTCTCCTGAACTTACGGCCTACATTTGCCACCAGTGGAAAGAAAACTCGAAAGGAAAACGAATCGCGTGTTACTGGGAGGAATACTCGTCCGAGGAACGGGTTCCCTCGCGAGTACAGGCGACGAGCGTGCCAGGTTTTCATTAATAAACGCTGTTCGAGGTCGAAACGAGTTTGACGAAAAGGATGGAGACGCTTTGGGATCACTCTGGATATAGGATATTCTACGCATTTGATATTTACCAAGTGAAATTTGTAACTTCCGAGGCTGCCAGGCGCTCTGGTCTACAAGTTTGCACGCAGAAGGGAAACGTGATGCCGCGACTCTATTTCAAGAAGTAACATCGATTAAAAACGCTTTTCGCTTCCTAAGTGGACGGTCGCGTTCATGCGACTGAGCTTCGTGTAAAACTGGAGCTAAGAGTACAGTTACATTTGTAAACGTTCGCACCTGATGTCCTCGCGACCAAAATAAATCGAGGAGTGAAGCAACGAGTGAAGAAAGTTTTCGTATCGGTGAGTTGCGGGCCAGGCGAGATAAGAAAGAGAAACTCTTTTTATTGGTCTACCGGCAGTGAGTTATCTAAGACAAAAGTACCATTTCAAATGTCATCGTCTCGACACGGAAGCGTGCCCGAAGAAGAAAGAAATCTCTTTCTTTGGTGCTTACTGCAGACTTTTGGATCGTACCGATACTTTCCTCGTTAGATAGAAATCGGGGCAGAAATCGAGTGGAGGCGGCGTCGGCGTCGACATCCACGGGTCGTCCCATGGGTGAACCGATCGGACCAGTCTCGGGTCGGGTGAAATTTGGAAAAAGAAAGCCAGGAGCTCGAAGGATTGCGGACCGTTAATGGACAGCTCGATCGGAGAGCGGTTCGAGTTACTGCAGTTTTTATACGCTAAACAACCACCGTGTCTAGCAGAAGGATTGCGGTCTCGAGCAAGGGAAAAGGGAAATCAGGACTAGCTGACGCCTAGCTGGCTAGTCTCTCGATCTATCAGACATATTGCCTCTGTTGACACTTTAATAACATAGACTCTTTTATTCCGGCACTTACTGACCACAGCTTATTAACACTAAACGTACCAAGCGTGGGGCTCTTTTAAAGTCCTTATCGTACATTCACGAACAATACTCGCTCAAATAAATTTTTTATGGCTAAATGAAATAGAAATACAGTTGTATATTCAGAGCCTCTTTTAACTTATTAAAGTTAAGAACTTCTTTCTATAAACATCAACGTTTATTTCACAAGAAGTCAAATGACCCCTCATAGTAACAATAAGTATATGTAAAGTCTCAATACGTTTAGTGATAACCCTTTTCACTCTGAATTTTCTGATTTCAGTACATTTTTGTCGAACCTCACTCGACATAGGATCGCAAAGGGTTAACCGCCATTTCTACTCAATTCGAGAAAACAGACAAGGGAAGATTCGAACGACCTCCAACCATCCAATGAGTCTTAAAAGATATCAGAAGAGTCTCTATTAGAAAAGAGTCTTTCCACCTAGATTGTTGAAACCATAAATGGCAAATAGAGGGTTGACGTGGCCTAGGATTACCCAGGAATAAGAGGCTGCGCCTCAGCTAGGTCTAGCGCACTCTGTGTCAAGGTTCCTCCGGCGATGACGAGCGAACCTGACCGTTTTACGCTGCCTCAATGATAATTACATACATACGTGCGCAGACGAGACGTCGAAACGAAAACGAAGCCGACGATGTCGAACTCAAAACCCGAGCGCGATGTTTCTCGGCTCTTTCGTCGATCATTGTTGAGCAAACTTGGCGAAATCTAGCAATTACACCTGTGATTATTGTGACACCGGGAGACCTCGAGTGGAACAGCTGAGGCAAACGTTGAATCTAGAGTTTCGCCTGTTCTAACAAATCGTCGCTCTATAAACAAAACCGTCGATAACTTAATTGTCAAGTGTGCAGTTCAAAGCGAATGAGACTTCAAATTTAATCAACATCGCGTGTTTGTTGCTTCGACAGCTGGCAATCGAGTGTCTAATTGCTGTCAGTCTGTCGCAATCGTTATTAGAAAGTAGTTTACGAAGGAAAAAAAATAAACTTTGAAACGATAACGCCAATCGGAATAATATAATTAAAAGATTTGTTTATTCCTAGAACGAAATGCGCGAAAGTAATTGCTGACGTTAATAATCGTTTCGAACCGTAAAACGAGATTGAGTCCTGACAGGGCTTGCGAAATGCAGTAATCATGCGCCCACGAGAGTCGTTAGGTAGTTTGCGGACCGTGTATCCTGAAACGACGGACAAACGCAGAAATAATAGGCGACAGCTCGACCAGACGGGGAACACGAGAAAAATAGACTGTTAGAAGGCCCTTCGCCGTGATTCGCGAGCGAATTCCATACGAATCGTCGTTTACTAGGTTGACGGGTTTACATAATTTACGGAAAAAGTCTGAGGCGATTACGAAATACGGGGAACATTAGGTCTGAAATTGGTATTGCTGTTCGCGTCGACTTTTTATCATCCGACATCCGCATTCGCGACTCGTTAGGGTAAATAATGAGTCGAACGTTTTGATTAAATAAATTACCAAAATTTGAATAAATTTCAGCACGCGATAGATCGTTGTTAGATTTAAATTAATTGAAGTGGTAACCGCAGGTATAGACGTGTAATTGCTCAACTAGGACTCGCTCGAATAAAGGATTCGTTTCTCAACTGCAATTCGTAAGATTAATTAAAGTGCAACCGGAGAAAGGCGTTTATGATTGACTCGGGCCAGGTAAGCAATCAATTCTGCGCGGGTAATTCTCGTCTGACTGAGACGAAGCTTTCGAAATCGCTTTTGGATAGTGCTGGCTCACCTTCATTAGCCATATAAGCGAGCGTACTCGCGCGGTTTTACGGATGTACCGCATGTACGTTCGCAATGTCGTAACCCATAGTCTATGAATCGATAATACGTTGGTTTAATAATGTTATAGTCCTTTGGTAATCGAAAGGAGCTAGGAATAATCGTATTTTATTTTTGAAGATGCTACGTACCAGAGTATAAAATATACTCCACATACAGTTTGCATAGTTTTTCAAACTAATTAGAACATTTCAGGCTTCATTGTTAGAGAGTTAACGCCATTTGACAACGCGATCCGACTCGAGCTTCCGGGATTACATGCTCGTGCTATTCTGCTTTCCGATCACGTTAATTATGCATAGCGGTTGTGCTCCTTACATTCTGTAAAAGGCACAGAGATACAAAATGGACATTCAATTAGGAAAAGCCACGCGTCGGACAACCGAGACAGATAAAGCGACAGGCGGTGCATCAATCTCGAGTTTTAACGGTACACGGACACTTTGCAAGCTCGCTGCAACGGGATTTCTTCGGACGCGTCTTCTGTATTGTTACGATGACGATTTTCCTGTCCGGTTCCTGACACGGACTCGCGACGTTCCAAGTTCATTCGGCGCGTAAGTCTCGCGTAATGGAATCACGGTGCCAGCGAATACGCACGGCGCTCTGGTGATTTCAACGCGTGGCAGAGTATCACTGCAGACCGACTAGCGTTATGAAAATCGAAAGTATACGCAGTGGCATTGAAATCACCGCTGCGATACCTATTCGAATATATCTATAAAAGCATGGTTTATCCAAGGTTTATTTTTCAATTTTTCTTAATTCAAATTTTCGAAATTCTTCATTGTTTACATTGCGACGATATCCACTCCATTTCGCTCTAATTGGGTC